ACATCCCGCACAGCCAAACGGACGCCCCACTTTGACGAGGGTTTTACCGCCGGTCGGAGGAAGACCAATGGTGACCATACTTCTATTCCCCAGTCACCCTTGGGGACTGGAACATATGAATTCCTGATGGCACACCATTTTGCAGAAAGGCAAAATTAAAAATCCATAAACACTACACTGCTTTCCCCTTGATCTTTTTGTGACTGATGTAGCCATGTTTTATCTACAATAAAAATGTTTAATCTCCTAAATTGCTATACCAAATGTTATATAGACAATGTGCTCTTTTAAACTATAAATAATAAATTTATCAAATACCCAGTATTTAGTTTTAATCAGCAAGTAAGATGGGTCAGAAGGACAAAACATCATGCACATGATAATTTGAGTTGATACACCCCCCTTTTTTACTTAGTGCCAAATAAACAGTTTATGCCTAAAATGTAAGTAGTCAAACATAAACGACAAGTATTTTACACATATTCATACTTTAAAATCATGATTTATTTTCATTATGTTGTCAAATCTGAACCTTATATGAATCTCTTTCTTTTTTACAAACACACGTGTTGTACTGCTGAAATGTAAACAAATGAATGCACACACGATTTTTCATTCATCGTGTTGATTTTATAATTATTTCCAATAAATAAACTTACCAGATAATGCTGAAAGTAACTAAAGTCGCTGAAAAATTATGTTTTCTCCTGATTCAGTACGTTTAAACAGTCGAAAATGCAGTATTTTGTTGATTATCGGTGTAGTTGTTTTTACACCCTAAGCCTCGATTTCGACTAACTTCCGGGCGATTATAAACCTCGGAGCAGTCCGGAGTAACAACGATACGAAAGGGGTCTATTGGCAATCATACCACATCTTCATATTTCTACATTTCTATGTATACATATACTTACAAAACGCTATGTTTGAAAAAAAATGTGTCAACTATAAAATTTCAACATAAACACACACTTTCAATTAGACGTATTTTACATAAACATTACATACATTATCAGTTCTTCTATTACTGTCTGTTGACTCTGCATCATATCACAATATTCCTTCATTGTGATACATGAAGGACGACGTAACAAACTTATTTAAAAAAAGACTTCATAATTTTAATACCAGAAGTCACTTACACAAATATGTAAATGTTTATAGTCTAATCCATGAATAAGAAAAGCTTATTGGTAACAGTACTTGTTTATGAGCTGAAATCACATTTCAAATCACTATATCCCTGTGTTTCAATGATTTGAGATGAAGATTAATTGGAATTACTAGTACACGATCAATCACTTCCGGTAACATTCTTCTGAAGGTCTTCCACAGTTTTTAGAATTTCCCCCTCACCTATTACTGTTTTGGTGAACGATTTTAAATTGGCCGATTGTTGAACACAACATGTATTGTTTTAAGAATACAGTATGCCTGTATCAATAATACCTGGAATTTTTAATTGATGGTATAAATTAGTTAACTAAGTGACAAAAGTTCTTTGATAATATCACAGAATTCGTGATTTAAATTATATTGTTGACTTAGTTGTGCTGTTCCCATTAAACATTTATACATTTCCGGTTTGGGAAAAATTGAATTGATAATGCAGAGTTCTGGGCACAAAATGATGTTAATCTGTTTCTAGTAGGATATCAGTCAATGGGATTTGTCTTACCATACTGTAATATGAGAAGTAGTTGAGAGTGTCAGCATATTAATTATACCAAACTTTATGTTATCAAAAACATTCTTAAATGAAAAGCCATGCAGTGTTTTTTTTTCCATTTTATAGATGAATTTTAATAAAAGGATATACTTATTTGGTAGACGAAACAAATCTATAATTAAGGTATTTCCTTTCACTATAAGGAAAGACCTTACTGTATTTCTTCTGATTATTATTATTCTTCTTTCCGCTCAACTGTAATGACATTTCCCCAAAAAATTACGCGACATGTTAAAATGATATTAGGTATCTAGTATCGGTTAACCAAAAGCTATCTTGTGGTAAGGGCACGACCCCGTTATATTTCCTTTATAGCGGTTATCTCCCCTAACACTTAAAACCTTGTTATCATTCTAACTCAATACGTTTGGATCGAAAAGATTCAACGACTCGTTGGTAGGTTTTGCCCCTTTCAAAATTAACCAATGTCGGTTGGCAACTAAGACTCAGAAACCGTAAGTTTTAGCCACTTAGGATCTTCACCAATGATCATCATTTCACGTGACCATGAAAATTGACAAAAGGTCAAGGTCGTGACATAGATTTTGACGTTAGTTTGTTATCGGATTTACTCAATAGCCGTAAAAGATGGCTGATGAACTATAACAGAAAATGTGTGTCTTGGCAAGATCTACATTTGTTATGTTGGGTTCATAGTTATTGGACCAACTTTTATGAACCAAGGGCACCAAAACTGTTTTTCGGTACGAAATGATTGTTTGCTTATAACTCAAAAGAGGTTAGAGATAGAAAAAAACATTGAATTGCAAAAATGTTCATCATAATAAGATCTATAAAATTAGGTCAAGGTCAACGGTCAAGGTCCCTAGCAACGACATAAAACACCTAAGCAACCATATATTTTTGAACGTTAAAGGCTATGAATAATATAAATATAAAATTTTAATACTGGAAATGACATTTTTGTCCCTAGCAACGACATATAAGTCCTTGGCATTCACTTATTTTTTTTTTAACTTGAAATACTATGAATAGTATATATGACATTTAATACTGGAAGTATTGTTTTTTGTCCTTAACAACCACTTGTTATGAACATAAAAATCGTAAGCAACCATTTATTTTTGAACTAAGAAGGCTATCAATTAAAGATTTCTAGAAGCCGAATTGGTTATACTAGAGTGACACACGAGTATCTTTTAAACAATGAAGATGAACCACAATGTGTACCTTGCAACTGCAAGTATACTATTAAACATGTTTTAACTAATTGTATTGACTTTGCTGATATTCGTAAGAAGCATTTCAATGTCAATAATATGTATGATTTATTTAATAATGTTCCATTTACAAATATTGTTTCATTGACATTCTTAAAAGAAATTGGAATATATTATAAAATATAAAAAATGTTGTTATATTTAAAACGATTTAATTTTTTATCACGTTTCTTAATGTTGATTTTTATTTGTGAATAATCAATTCGCTTTAGTCTAGAATTTTAGTTTATTGAAAGACCTCTTAATTTGGATGAGGAAAGGCTTGGTGTTGGGCACCACAACCCTTAATTGCACTAATACACATAGCGACAGTTTGGAAATGAGCAATCTTTTGTTACTGTTAATACTTTTGCATATTTCATTTCCCTCTATGCATGATGAAGTATATTGGAATAGTCTCACTGTTGTCTATTAGCATTCTTTAACAATGGTCCAGATGCCTGAGGTTTATTTCCCTCTATGGATGATGAAGTATATTGGAATAGTCTCACTGTTGTCTATTAGCATTCTTTAACAATGGTCCAGATGCCGGAGGTTTATTGTTTACTGATTAAGGCCCTAAGGAAACTGGCTGTAAAATGTCAGTGCCCCATCTTAAAGTATGCTGCGTTTGAAACCTACGATCTTCAATACTTTTTCAATGCGACGAATACCTGTATTGATGGTTAAACCGACGTCCTCTGTGTCTTCCTCGATAGTTTCGAGATCCTCTGCTTCTGTCCAGTTCTTTTCTTAGGTCATCTAGTTCTCTTTTCAGTTGAGATTTCAGATTTATCCTTAGTTCCAGCTTGATGTTCCTATCTTCTTTCCTGTTTTAGGCATATCTGAAGCCTTTTGGTATTCAGCAGTCCATTTTGATAGAATGGGTGAGGGGTACAAGAAATGATTTTACCAGAAATATGAACATTCTGTATCACTTTTACTCTTTTCGAATGTTGGCCTGTTGCAAGGCAAAATTTCTGTCCCTATCCAATATACCCTCATCTTCCAGTGGGAGTCCAAATTTCCCCTACCATAGATAGTCTATACTTGTGTGGACGTGGCGCGCGTCTGGCGTATTAAATATTTAACCTGGTACCTTTTGTTGGGTATTATTTTCTCTGTCCTATAATTTCTCCCATTTATTTGTATTGTAGTCATGTCATGCAACGTTGTCATTTTAATGTTAGAACTAACATTGCCATTAAAGCAGGTGTTTGGCATGCCAAAAAACCAGGTTCAACCCACCATTTTTTTTTTCTTAAAATGCCCTGTACCAAGTCAGGAAAATGGCCATGGTTATATTATAGTTCATTTCTGTGTGTGTTACATTTTAATGAAAACATTTTGAAAACAAACTGACAATACTTTTGCAAATAAACAAAAAAGAAAATACATACATGTACAACGGTACACAAAACACAATCTAGAAAACTTACGACTGAGCAAATATTGATTTAGATCGTATACTATTATAACGGGAAAAATAGTTATAGTTACTTCTTTTTCATACAAAATAAAAGGAAATATGAAGTATGTGTAAATGGGACAGCAACCAAACAACACACAAAAAAAGGAAGAATAAAGTTATCTTACTACAGTATTCATACATATTTAACTACTTATATTCTATATAAATATACCCTTTTCTTGAAGGATATCTAATGAATGTCTTTTCTTGTAGTATTAGATTTTGCAATCTACGTCTTTATCAGCTATCCAACTGTCAAGGCAACTATTTAAAGGGCATGTTAACACTGTATCAGGCACCCCAAAGGATGGGGCATACAGGCTTGAAATAACTGCTCACATGGTACGGAACATCATTTTTATACTTATCTTATTTACTGTATTCTCCTACATTTATGTATCTGCGTTCGCCGTGCAAGATCAACATATAGCGACAAAACCCATCAATTTGATGTTTGGAATATGTTCAAGTCCTTCAAAAAATATTCTAGCCATCAAGCCGTCAAAACTTGTAGCTGAAATCAAACCATCGATCCTATCGACTTGCAACCACATTTGATTGTGCTTCAGGCAGGCTGACGATGACCCAGACAAGATGGAAGAGACTTGGAAAAGTTAGTTGTTCCATGTCTTAAACAGGACACTTCTTTCAAGGAAAGATCATCACTAAATGCGGACAACCTCACGGAGTCCAAAAGCACCAAGAAAGAAGAAATGACTAAGCAAAGACAGCCAATCTGATACCGCTTTTGAAACTTATTATTTGGGATATACGCCCTCTTGATCTTTTCTGTCCCGCTTGGGCCTTGGAGACCACTCAATGAGGTTAAAAAATTGCCCAGAACGACTGGCATTTAATTATTCATCGATGGTTTCCCAAACATTGGACGGAACCAGAAGACTACTGCTAACGGGAAACTATCATTTTCTACAAAATGTATCCCCCAAGGGTGACTGGGGAATAGAAGTATGGTCACCATTGGTCTTCCTCCGACCGGCAGTAAAACCCTTGCTAAAGTGGGTCGTCCGTTTGGCTGTACGGGATGTACAAATTTGCAGCCACGTCCGGTCAGAATGGGGACGTTAAATCCTATGTCTCGTGTCAAGAGAGTGCCACGCTCTTTGTACGTTAAGAACCCTTGCATCAACTCTTTGAGGGGTCCGTAGGTGACCTGCTGTAAGGCTAAATTTCTGTCCCTATCCAATATACCCTCATTTCCCGTGGTAGTCTGAATTTCTCCGACCTTAATCCCGGACGTACCTATTACAGAACCTACCTATTGTATTTATTTTTAATTTGTTCTCGTCCTGAATATGCATGAGATATTAGCCACTGGACGTTAAGCAACCAACAATCAATCAATCTACAAAATGTACAAAGAGCACCGGCAGATGGACTGATTATGAAAAAAGTTATACGGCTTTGGATGTCTGAACTGAAGTCGCTTTCCTTGCCAGCAATCACCAGCAAGTACCCTACACTAGCAAATGTTAAAATATGTGATATCTTAGACTATTCGTCAGGATGGAATTCCAACTAATGGATCAACAGAAATGTACTCAGTCACTAGAAGATCTTGACTGGACAGGAAAGTCGTGAAATATAGAGAAACAATCGTGTCATGAATGCAGTAATGTTCGATCGCAGGTTCCACAAATTCCTATCGGAGATCATCATTGTAATCAGGAATAAAATCTTCTTCTTCCTCAATTTCTGCATACTTTACTGCCTTTTGTACAATATCTTCACATAAGCAACACGACGGTTGCCACATGTGGAGCAAGATTTGCTTACCCTTCCGGAGCACCTGAGATCACCCCTAGTTTTTGGTGGGGTTCGTGTTGTTTGTTCTTTAGTTTTCTATGTTGTGTCATGTGTACTATTGTTTGTCTGTTTGTCTTTTTCATTTTTAGCCATGGTGTTGTCAGTTAATTTTCGATTTATGAGTTTGACTGTCCCTCTGGTATCTTTCGTCCCCCTTTTTCTTCTTTTTCTGTGATGTTGGTGGGTTATCCATGGCAACCACATCCCCGGATAAGGAACTGATTCACTTATATTCAATGTCGAGCATGTGCCCTATAGATAACTGACCGAAATGAATATATGAGGGGATTGATTGATTGATTGTTGGTTGCTTAACGTCCAGTGGCAAATATTTCATGCATATTCAGGACGAGAACAAGTTCACAATAAATACAATAAGGTAGGTTCTGTAATAGATTAAGGGATTAAGGTCGGAGAAATTTAGACTACCACGGGAAATGAGGGTATATTGGATAGGGACAGAAATTTAGCCTTGCAACAGGTCACCTACGGACCCCTCAAAGAGTTGTTGCAAGGGTTCTTAACGTGCAAAGAGCGTGGCACTCTCTTTACACGAGGCATCGGATTTAACGTCCCCATTCTGACCGGACGTGGCTGCAAATTTGTACATCCCGCACAGCCAAACGGACGCCCCACTTTAGCACGGGTTTTACTGCCGGTCGGAGGAAGACCAATGGTGACCGTACTTCTATTCCCCAGTCACCCTTGGGGGTAATATATGAGGGGAAAATAAACGGGTATCACTAGGAAAAGGCAAACAAATTTAGATTACACTCCCGAAATGTGCTTCCAGTTGAAAAACAGCAGTAAAAGAGCTTTAGCTTTTGTTTGACTTCAGTTGTGCAATCATGTTTCAAGGCTGTCTTAACTAAAAGGAGTCTTATTTCCCACATGCATTATTTCATAGTGATATAAGTTAACTTAATTGTTGTATTCCTGAATTTTGTATTCTATGATTATTATATGACTACATGTAGGGTGTGAGTCATAAATGATCATGATTATACAAAATAACCAAAAGTTATATTCCTATATTCTGTGTTGACTTAATTCCATTTTGCAGCATGCTTGATCTTGAATCTTATTTTTTTTTAAATTTTATTTGAATACTTACAGTGTACAGTAAAACAGATCACTCCATTCAAACACTGTAATCTCTAGCCAGTCAACACTGAGGTTGTGAGTTTGAGGATTTACTATAGATTTAAATTGTGCTGTTTGAATGTTCGTATACAAAGTTAGCTAAAACACATGTGCTCTTAGTAACAGATGTAGAAAAAAATATGTTTGTATTGAACCTACATAAAAATATATGCAAATGGACATGATTTCTTATGTAGCTTAAGTCTAAACAGCAGTTATTCTTATTTCTTCATTTAATAAGGCCTCTTCCTTTGAACGGTGTTGTGGAGTATGTTACATTTAGTCTGAAACAATCCAATGGCATCTTATAGGAGTTACTGTCCCTAAAATGTTTAATTATAAGGTCAATTAATTATTACTGTAACTTGGTTCATTATAAAGCAATATGACCTTTTACAAAAGGTTGGGTGACATATGACCTTGAAAATGACAACCGGAAGTGAACTTGAGAAATCAGGAAGTAGCCATTTTTGCACTTTTTTCATGAAAAAGTACTTTGAATTCATATATTTTGTAATTTAAATACATTAACTAATCACACAAGACTAGAAATGACTTTTGATCAACCGGAAGTAGTAAAATTTCTCCCTTATTTCACTCAAAAGTATATCGAAACCACTAATGTATCGCATCAGTATCAAGTAACTAGCTTCATTTCAAAATTTCTTTCATGTGGAAAGACCTTCAATTCTTCTCGGAACAATTGGTTTTAAATTATAGTTATTTTTTCAACCAAGAGAGAGCAGCTCAACAGGCACCACAACTGCCAAACCTAGAAAGAGAAGCTCAACAGGCACAACAACAGCCAAACCAAGAAAGAGAAGCTCAACAGGCACCACAACAGCCAAACCAAGAGAGAGAAGCTCAACAGGCACCACAACTGCCAAACCAGGAAAGAAAAGCTCAACAGGCACCACAACTGCCAAACCAGGAAAGAAAAGCTCAACAGGCACCACAACAGCCAAACCAAGAAAGAGAAGCTCAACAGGCACCACAACTGCCAAACCAAGAGAGAGAAGCTCAACAGGCACCACAACAGCCAAACCAAGAGAGAGAGAAGCTTAACAAGCACCACAACAGCCAAACCAAGAGAGAGCAGCTCAACAGGCATCACAACAGCCAAACAGAGGCAGAAGCTCAACAGGCACCACAACTGTCAAACCAAGAGAGAGAAGCTCAACAGGCACCACAACAGCCAAACCAAGAGAGAGAAGCTCAACAGGCACCACAACAGCCAAACCAAGAAATAGAAGTTCAACAGGCACCAAAACAACCAAACCAAGAGAGAGCAGCTCAACAGGCACCACAACAGCCAAACCAAGAGAGAGAAGCTCAACAGGCACCACAACTGCCAAACCAGGAAAGAAAAGCTCAACAGGCACCACAACAGCCAAACCAAGAAAGAGAAGTTCAACAGGCACCACAACTGCCAAACCAAGAGAGAGAAGGTCAACAGGCACCACAACAGCCAAACCAAGAGAGAGAGAAGCTCAACAGGCACCACAACAGCCAAACCAAGAGAGAGCAGCTCAACAGGCATCACAACAGCCAAACAGAGAGGGAGAAGCTCAACAGGCACCACAACTGTCAAACCAAGAAAGAGAAGCTCAACAGGCACCACAACAGCCAAACCAAGAGAGAGAAGCTCAACAGGCACCACAACAGCCAAACCAAGAAATAGAAGTTCAACAGGCACCAAAACAACCAAACCAAGAGAGAGCAGCTCAACAGGCACCACAACAGCCAAACCAAAAGCAACAACAAAATACGCGAAAACCTGGAAAAGGGAAGGGACCACAACAGGAGCAGCTACAGGGGGCACTTTCTCCAAGGAAACAATTCGCTATATTGCCAGAAGTCAGACCAGTTGGTCAAAATGATAAATGTGGAAAATGCGGGAAGAAGTGTTCTCCTTTTCTTCTTTGGATCGAATGTGACAATTGCAATACCTGGTACCACAAAAAATGTACAAATTTAACTACCGCCCAGTACCATAAACTACAGAAAAGTAAGGAAGACTGGACTTGCAACTGCAAGGAATGAAGCAAATTACAGTGGTTTGTCCTTTTACAATACCATTTGTTTTACTTGTCAATTTTCTTAAATTCTTAAAATAATTCCTTGTTCATACCGTTGTCTGCCCAACTGTCAATCGTTCATCAACATGTAGTTAACTCAAAAATGCATTCACAAATTTTCATAAAACTTTGATGAATAAGTTCCCTTTTAACTATTGAAATAAGCTCCCTTTTTACTATTAAAAAAAGCTCCCTTTCATTTTTGTCAAAAAGCGAGACATAGGTATGCTGTTTCTGGCAGCGGCGGCATCAACAATGTATTAGTTTGTGATTAGGTCTACTTTATGGTGAACCACTGCTGGTAAGTCAATGATATTTGGTATGCAGTTGTATTAGTATTGGCACCTCTCAATGCCATCAGCCATGGAGATTATTTCGCCCCGCCCCCTCATTATGGTCTATTGACTTTGAGACTTTTGCTTAGTTTTCATGTGTTAGTTTGTGATTAGGTCAGTTTATGGGAACCAGTAGTAGTAAGTAAATGATAATTGGTATGCAGTTGTATAAGCATTGGCATATCTCAATTCCATTGAGAATTTTTGGCCCCGCCCCTTCAGTGATAGTCTATTGACTTTGAAACTTTTGCTTAGTTTTCATGTATTAGTTTGCGATTAGGTCGGTTATGGGGAACCACTAGTTGTAGGTCAATGATATTTGGTAAGCAGTTGTTTTAGCATTAGCACATCTCATTACCATGGAAATTATTTGACCCGCACCCTCAGTTATGGTTTATTGATTTTGAAATTTTGCTTAGTTTACATGAATTATTATTTAGTGTTTAGGTTTGTTTAAAGGGAACTTCTTATGATAAGTCCATGGTATTTGGTATGCAGTTGTATTAGCATTGCCACATCTCATTTCCATGGAGATTATTAAGCCATGTACCTTCAGCCATGGTTCATTTTGAATATTTGCAAAACTTGATGTTTAAGTGTTGCTATTTTAATTTCAACATTTGCATTATCGTAATTATCTCTGTGATAACAGTTCATTCATTCATAAAGATCTGATATGAAATTCTGGAATCCTGGAAATTTGATGATCATTGACACATAAATATTTCTCATATCTCAGCAATTATTTGACTCTGTTCTTTCAGTCATGATTGATTGATTGATTGATTGTTGCTTAACGTCCAGTGGCAAATATTTCATGCATATTCAGGACGAAAACAATTTAACAATAAATACAATAGGTAGGTCCGGTAATAGAGGTCAACTGGGTTGCAGGTCGGGAAAACTTGGACTGCCACGGGAAAATGAGGGTATATTGGATAGGGACAGAAATTTGGCCTTGCAACAGGCCACCTACGGACCCCTCAAAGAGTTGTTGCAAGGGTTCTTAACGTGCAAAGAGCGTGACACTTTCTCTAGACGAGGCATCGGATTTAACGTTCCCCACTCTGACCAGACGTGGCTGCGTACTTGATACATCCCGCACAGCCAAACGGACGCTCCACTTCGGCAAGGGTTTTACTGCCGGTCGGAAGAAGACTTGTAGTAACCATATTTCTATTCCCCAGTCACCATTGGGAAACAATATATATCTATATATATTTTAAATGATATTTTAGCAATTTTTGACCTGCTAGTCAAAAACGTTTTATTAAAATATACTTTTTCACTTTTTTGGTCTTTAGGAAAATGTTGTTTGTGCTGTACTTAGACCCCTCTACCAAGAAATTTGTTTTGCATGCACACGTATAAAAATTGCGGTTTTTATCCAACTCAATCATAGGTTTGAACGTTGTTTTCAATTTAGACTTGTATATATAGTTGCTTACATCCAAGTCTTTCGTTCGTTCGAAAATTAAATGAAGTATATTTTATGCTTTTTTCACGTTTTAAATATGATTGATTGATTGATTGATTGTTGGTTGCTTTACGCCGCATTAGCACAACAAGGCTATATCGCGGCGAGAGCTAATTCGAATATTTTTTACAATTTAAAGCATATTCTTAAAATCAGACAAAAGGTCCTTCAATAAACTAAAATTCTAGATTAAAGCAAATTGATTATTTACAAATAAAAATGAACATTAAGATAACGTGATAAAATTTAAAATCGTTTTAAATATAATATCATTTTTATATTTTAGAATATATTCCAACTTCTTTTAAAAATGAAACAATATTTGTAAATGAAACATTATTAAATAAATCATACATATTATTGACATTGAAATGCTTCTTACGAATATCAGCAAAGTCAATACAATTGATTAAAACATGTTTAATAGTATACTTGCAGTTACAAGGTATACATTGTGGTTCTACTTCATTTTTTTAAAGATATTCGTGTGTTATTCTAGTATGACCAATACGACATCTAGAAATAACACACTGATCTTTTCTGCACATAAAATTATTGAAAGGTTTACATAAATTAGATTTAATTTCATGTAATTTATTACCATCTTTTATACTCCATTCATTTTTCAATATATTAAAAACATATTCTCTAATATTAGATTTAAAATCGGTATATGGTATACCACAGTTAGATAAAGGGTCACCCAGGGCATTCTTTGCCTCAAGGTCTACAGCTGTGTTTCCAAGGATTCCAACATGACTCGGCACCCATAGAAATAATATTTCTTTAAGAAGAATTTTTAAATTCCTCATTACATATAAAATTTTGAGAATTGTTGGGTTTTTAACTTTAGTATTTTGTATAGCTTGTAAGCATGAAAGTGAATCAGAACATATAATAAATTTGGATTTATCTGAAGAAGCAATAAATTTCAAAGCCAAAATTATTGCTTCTGCTTCAGCAGTAAAGATCGATGCATCAGAAGGCAAACGGAGAGTTGCAGCTCTGTCCCTGAAGACCCATCAGTATAGACAGTTGAAAAATCTGAATAATTGGCTTTGATTTCAGCATAGTGTTGCTGAATTAAAAGAGGATTTGTTTTATTTTTATTGTGTTCACGGAGATCAAATATCATTTTTGGTTTGGGAAGTTCCCATGGAGGACATTTGCAAGTTTCAACTTGAGCAACAGATTTTAAATCAAAAGAAGCTAAATGTGGTTTTAAACGTATACCTAACGGAAGAATTTTATTTTCATGTTTTGCAAAAATATCTTCATAAATTGGATTAAAAACACAGCTGTAGGCAGGATTATCTGAGTAGGCTTTTAGTTTGACAGCATATTGAAGTCCAAGCTTCAAACGTCTGTTAGAGAGTGAGTGCTCATCAGCCTCTACATAAAGACTCTCAACTGGTGAGGTTTTAAATGCGCCAAGACAGAGACGCAAACCCTGATGATGCACAGCATCGAGAATCTGTATGTAGGACTTCCGTGCAGAGCCATACACTATAGAGCCATAATCTAGTTTAGATCTAACTAAAGATCTATATAAATTAAGTAAAATGTTGCGATCAGCACCCCAGTCGGTGCTGCCGACAACTTTTAAAATATCTAATGCTTTTAAACATTTCGATTTTAACATTTTGATATGGGGTAGAAAGGTTAACTTTTTATCGAAAATTAACCCAAGAAATTTGGTTTCATCAACCATTTTAATTGGGTTGCCGTACAAAGTGAGTTCTGGATCAAGATGCAATTTCCTTTTGTTACAAAAATGCATCCCGACCGTTTTTGAAGTGGAAAATTTAAACCCATTTTCCGAGGCCCATTCTTCAATTCTTCCAAGACAACTGTAATTGTCTTTCTATGTTATTCATATTTTTGCCTCTATAACATATTAAAAAGTCATCAACATACAATGAACCTTCAATATTACTTTTTAAAACTTCAACAAGGCTGTTGATTTTAAGACTAAATAATGTAACAGATAAAATACTGCCCTGAGGGACACCCATCTCTTGATCATACAGATCAGACATGGTTGAATTTACTCTAACATTAAATTGTCTGTTAGATAGAAAATTCGAAATAAAATTTGGCATATTGCCTTTCAACCCCACATCAAAGAGATCTTTTACTATACCATACTTCAATGCAGTATCATAGGCTTTTTCTAGATCGAAAAAGACCGACACTACATGTTCATTTTTCGCAAAACCATTACGGACAAATGATTCGAATCGAACAAGATGGTCAAGAGTACTGCGACCTTGGCGGAATCCACACTGGATATTGGCTAAAAGCCCATTGGATTCCAGGAACCAAACAAGGCGATCATTGACCATCCGTTCTAGTGTTTTACAGACACAACTGGTAAGAGCAATTGGCCGATATATTTATATAAATAAGGCCGTTAAAAGTTCTCGTTTGAATTGTTTTACATTGTCATTTCGGGACCTTTTATAGCTGACTATGCTCATTGTTGAAGGCCGTACCATAATTATGACGTCTTGAAAGGCTATCTATTATATTTTTTTCTTTCTTTGACGCCTTACATCGTCGCAGAAGGGCGTCAAGGCAAAAATTTAGAATTGCCTTCCCAGACGTCATAATTATATGGACTAGAAACCTTAAATTCCTGCTATGAGGACGAGATACTGATAGAATCCCACACATTTGTTTGTGGATTAATAAAATATATCATTGCGTGTTGTGTGATTGATTGTTGGTTGCTTTACGCCGCATTAGCACAACAAGGCTATATCGCGGCGAGAGCTAATTCGAATATTTTTTACAATTTAAAGCATATTCTTAAAATCAGACAAAAGGTCCTTCAATAAACTAAAATTCTAGATTAAAGCAAATTGATTATGTACAAATAAAAATGAACATTAAGATAACGTGATAAAATTTAAAAACGTTTTAAATATAATAACATTTTTATATTTTAGAATATATTCCAACTTCTTTTAAAAATGAAACAATATTTGTAAATGAAACATTATTAAATAAATCATACATATTTCAAGATACATTGTCACTTTCTTTTAAATGAGTTTCTTGAAGACAAAATGCAGTAGGTAAAAATGACTGAACTAGAAGCGTCAACTCGAGAAGATTTATTTTAAGACCTCGGCAATTCCATTGGATGATATTAGTCATGATTTGTTAATAGACGGGCGAATGCTATCGAGTTTGCCAGCATTCTTATTTCGCTCACCCTGAGATTGTAATCTTTCGGGTGGCGGAACACTTTCGATTTCCATTTCTGATTCGTCGTTAAGTGTTGAAAATCTGTTGTGTGAGGAGAGTCGTCGATCTCCAGGACCATGCGCAGCTGGTTTTACTCCGCCTCGACCCCTACCCCGCGACCTCGAATCAGAAGACTTCTGAGAGGATGTATTTGCTGGCTTATTTGGAACATCCTTCTGTTCTGGAGAACGAAGAGGAGACGGGGCTTTAGAAGACTTTGTACTGGATGTAGAAGATAAACTAGTTTTATTAGATGCAGATGAAGGAGGACTATTGGAGATGGAAGAATCATCTATGTCACTGGGAAGATCCCAGACAGATTCACCGCCCCAACTGTCTGATTTAACTGTATCTTTTTTATTTGATTTCTTTTTTTCATTTTTTTTTAGATGACATTGAGCTCTGTAAGGAAGATTGAGTT